GAGGTGGGACCAAATGATAAATGAAAGCTGTTGAGATGCAATTCCCCCTTTTATGTATCTGCTTTGAAATGGCTATTCTTGTTGTTTGGTCAGTTTACTTTTATGAATGTGAGCAATACCTTTGCTTTCAAAATCCATCTTAACATAGAATGAATGTTTGGCTTTTAAGTAAATAGAAGTAGAAGCTGTTATTTTTAAATGGTGAGTAATACAGAAAATAATGACCATTGATCACATCAGTTTAAAGATACCTCCTGTATGCCATAAATTTAAAGAGAAGTAGAAACCTTTTAATATGCTGCTGTCAGAACCATATACTGTCATAAGGTGGCTTGTTGCACCCTACGGGCTTAGCCAGACAAAAAAGAAATAAGAACTCTGAAAAGGGGAGAAGCTGCTCCAATGCAGTCTAAGACAGAAAGTATGAAATCCTGGGTATAGTTATCTAATCACTGTTGAAGCTACCTAAACCCACTCTGGTAAGGAAAGAAGTCGCCTGGTTTATACATTGCATTTCCATGGTAAATGTAGCAGTATTACGGTAAACGGGCTTGGAACCAAGCAACAAGCACGGCGTGGTAGGTTTTAGGCAATGGTGTATTAGATCCGGTGACTTCTCTTTTGGAGGCTGGACAGCAAGTTAACTGAACTTTATTATAGTTTTCCTTTAGATTTAATTTTATGGAATATGTTTGGTGGTTTGCCTGCATGTATGTTTATACACTACATGTATCCCTGGTACCCACAGAGGCCAGAGGAACAAGGCCCTGGAACTGGAGATACAGATGGTTGCCAGCCATCATTATGAGTCCTTGGAATCAAACCCAGGTCTTCTGCAAGGACAAGTGCTCTTACTAAATAAGACCATTGAGTCCTCACGAAGTTTGTTATAATGCTCAGGATCTGAGAAGATGATGCTTATGCTTTTCCTGTAGTGGGTGGGTATAATCTTAACAAAACTTGTTTAGTGTTTGTAGTATTAGTGAACAGAAAATACATGATTTGTCCTTGTTCACAGTGTAGATGGTGTTGGGTAGGAGGGATTTGGAGCTCTGCAGGCAGAGGTCTCACTGCATGCCTCACTGCATACCAAGCTCGGGGACCTAAAATCCATCCCCATCCCCAGGGCATAACATGGTAGAGGGAGAGAACTCCCTCAACTCATCCTTCAACCTCTCTCTGTATGTCAGTGCTGTATTTGGTCATTCTGCAGGACTGGCCTCTTGACCAAGGAGGGCCATGCCAATGAAATATTACTTACTTTGATCAAAGAAGGTTAAGGCCTGCCAGTGGAAAGCAAGCATAATCTTCAAAGCTAGTGAAGGAGTTAGAGAAAGAGTGGTGTGGGTGTGTGTGTAGCTGTCTGTTGAGTGATTCTGACAGCCATGCTTGCTTTAAAAGCCATTCCTCCATGGGTTGGAGTAGCTTTTCCTCTCACTATTAAAATGCCTGGCGGCTTAATGGTCCTCTACCTACAACCCTTGTGTCAGGGCCTCAGCAGGCAACCCTGTCTGTTTCCTAAAGGAATCCCAGCAGTCTTGGTCTGGTTTTTTCTTGTTCTCACTTTTTTTTTCCTTTTGGGTTTTTGATATGGTATTTCCGTATAGTCTTGGCTGTCCTTCTGGAACTCTCTATGTAGACCAGACTTTCCTCAAACTCATTAAGATTTTCTGCTTCTGCCTTCCAAGTGCTGAGATTAAAGGTATGCATCAACACACATGCCTTCTGTGGGTTTCTTTTATAAAGTACTAAGCCTGAAATACACCTGGCAATGGGGAGAAAACCTCTAAGACCCTCAAGTATAAGAACCTGGAGAGAGTTCTGATCCTCTCTATAGGATTCTTTATAGGAGAGTCATGCTTGCCTTTATAGGATTCCTTCAAACATTGTAGATCATTGCACCACCTTTGGGGGAAAAAAAAAAAAGAAAGAAGAGCGTCTTGCAGCCTGCATTTTGTTCCCATACAATCCTGGGAGAGGTGCGGCTTCTGTTGAGAAGCACTTCCCACCCACTTTGGGAGACAGATTCTATCACTCTGTGGGTCCACACACAGCTCTGTGATCACCCCACCAGTCAATGTATGCTTGAGAGCAGCTTCAGGGTCGACAAGCATTTCTCATCTCTTGGCAAAAAAGAGGAATTGGGTTTCCTGTAAAAAGTATATACTCTACAAACTGGTCTGCCTGTGGGATTCTTTTGGGTCAGTCTCATATGGCCAAGGACACTGACGTTGCTACTTATTAGCTAAATGCATTCAAATGCTTAGATCAGAGCAGCCCTCCACAGCGTATTTGATGCTTACAATGAGAGAAGGGCACTTCCTTCTGTGGGTAGCAAAGCTGGGCCAGGATGGAACAGACAGACTCGGGTGGACTGGGACGGGACCTTCAAAAGCTGGTTTTGAAGGCTACTTTACACTTATGCAGGAGCACAGCAGGAGGTGGGATTTCAAGTGCTGCCTCAGTATGTGCCTATGGTTTTAGGTTTTGTTTTGTTTATTTAATGACCCTGGGCATTGGGTTACACTGTAGATTATAAACACCTAGGTCTCTTCCTTCAACCAGCCTGATCAGAACCCTGGAAGTTTTCCTCTGAGGAGAGATACACGTTAGAAAAGCATACACAGCTCCCTCTGTGGCATCCGAGTACCACACAGGGCATGTGTCAGCACAGCTGGTATTGTCCCTTCCCATCTTCTGTCACAGGAGAGTTTGCTTGCTCTAGGATTTTATATAAATGGACACTGACATTGTGTCTAAAGACTTCTTAGCTGGTATTGATGTGATAGACTAAAATGGAAAGTTTAAGCCTGAGGAGAACTTGCCAGGCAAGTAAGAGTTTCCTGAAGTAACATATGAAGGTGTCTGGCCAGTTTGCACTGGATGTATCTGAGGAGGTGAGCCCTATCTGTTTGGCCTTTCCTGTCACTCTGTTCTGGAATAGTCACTTCTCAGCCTTATTACATCTTCTGTAACTGCAGCCACTCGCTGTAGACAGATGTTAACAGAGGAAGCACTAGCTATCATCCTCTGTCCTGTTGTGTATTCCAGTGAAATGAAAGTTCCAAACCTAGACTCTTTCCCCAAGTAGCACTGCTGTGTATGGCAGCATACACAGACAGAAAAGAACAGAACACAGACTCTTTAAGGTGGTGACGATGGGGCAAGTGAGGAATGAGCTCCCTGAACGTTAGTGTAGTTTCCTTGCTGTTGCAGAGTGTTTTAAAGACAGAAGAATCTACTGAAGATGTCTTAGCCATCGTGATATTCCAGTTTCATCTGACTTTTGCACATAGGAAAAACACTGTGTTGCTTTATTTTGTATGGTACTGGCATCAAAAGAAATTAGATTTAAGTCAACAGAGTGAAATATTCCATAGGATTATGTTTAGAGCAAGGGTTCATAGATACAGTTTAAAGAGCTAAGGCCACTATTGTCAGCCAGGCAGCTGCACATAGCCCAGCTGGGCTTGAGTGACTCAAAGAACAGTTCAGAAAAGGTAGCTGCTCCTGCCATGTTTGATTCATGCAGAGCTAGCTTCAGGATTTAGTGAGTATATTTTAGTACTTCAAGAAGGGTTGGTTGGTTATTTCCTTGAAATGAGTTACCTACCTACAGACTGTAACCCAACCAATAGCATTTCAAGACTCCTTGGCATGTGATGCTATTGTGGATGACTGTCTGGACATTTCTCATCTAGTGAGGCTGATCATCTGAGCTCAGCAGCACTAATGTGTGTCCACAGTGTGGTAGAGTAGACCTGACAGGGTAGTCTGCCTAGGAGCATGTGTCTCCATGCTCCCTTTTTACAGGATGTAGACTTGTTTTTCTGAATGCTGAGAAAAAGCACATCTCACCCACTTCACTTGTGTCTAACCACCTACCATCTGTGCTGCATAGTGGTACAAGCCATAGGGCCAAGGGGGAGAGACATGGAGTGTGCTTTACTCTGCCAAAGAGTCCAGGTGAGAGATGCAAATAGAAGAAAGCTAGATCCTAAGTGGCAAATGTCTGAGCAAAGTATGATACGTGCCTGTAATACCGGCACTCAGCCAGGTGAGTTCAATGCCAGGCTGACTACAGTGCAAGTTTAGGCCAACTCTACTTACATAATGAGACCCAATATCAAAAACTAAAAATACCTGAGACTATTCCTTGATAGTAAAATAGTCAAACTGTTTAGATATTTTTATATGCATATGTAGTGAACCTGAAAATATTTCTTTTCCTCTCCATGTTTAGCATGTTAAAATTATTTTGTGTGTGTAAATAACTTTCTGTGTGTATAGCTTTCTGGTAGAAATGATTAGCGGTGAAAAATCGTAATCTAGTGGCTGAAAAGTTGTGGCATTCATTAAAATAGGGCCAGACCCATTCACCCTGCAGCAGTGTGACATAACAGTGCTTTGTCCTGGTGTGCGCCTTAGTTCTGACACAGGGACATCTGTCCGAGTTTCTAAAGTGTCTAAAAATGACATGAAATCTGAAATCCAATTGTCTTGAGAGATAAATAAAATAATTTAATTAGTAAAATTTATATTTCTACTAGTTTTGTGTATGAGCTAATCATGTCTATAGCATGAAAACAGATATGTTAGCATACCCACCATGCACAGTTCATCAACAGATTATTTTTAACAAAATATGATATATTGAAACTGTTTGGTAGTATCAACTTACAGTGTTCCTAAAAGACCTTAATGGCTGATCTTTGGTAAACTTTGAGATTCTCTGTTACATAGATTATTTCTTTTCACTAGAAAATGCTTTGAAGTTAAAATACCAGGAAAAGGGAAAATTTTCATTTCTTAGGCACTATGTCAAATACAACATATTTTTCAATTCCCATCTTTTTGAAGGAAATACTACTCATGTTATGTAACTGCCACAGACTTTATCAAATGATGGAAATAATCTAACACACTATTTGCATGCTCTGGTCCTTTTACATACGGACATGTAAATGACGGGCTGGTCTGGCCTCTTCTCTCTCCCCCAGAGCATTAAGAAGAAGCACTCTAACAAGCAGGAGATGGGCACCTACTTGAGGTTCATCGTCTCCCGCATGAAGGAGCGGGTGAGTGTGCGCTCTAGCTCCGTGCACTGTGGCTCTTGCAGTGGGAACCACTGTTGACATACTTGGCTATGGTCTAGTTTGGTTTCCAAGACAAGGTCTCTATATGTAGCACAGACTGGATTTGAATATACGCTTCTCCTGCCTCAGCCTCCTAAGTACTGGAATTGGAGGCTTGCACTACCTAATTTGGTTGCTGTTTTATTCATTATCTACAACAAATGTTTTTGTGCTGGACTGAACTTTGCCTTTTGCTTTGTATTTGTGTTGGACATAAGCATTTTACTGGCTGTATTAAATTAAAACATATTTTAAATATTAATTTAGCAAAGTGAACATTTGCATTAGTTATTGTGCAAATGGCAGTTCTTAAATAGCTCTTCTGTCAAACCTCAATGAATGCCACATTCTAGTAACTGTATACATTCTCCATTAATTATAAAGAATGTCTAAGATTATAAACTATTTTGACTTTTAGTAATTGGTGTTTTACATGTCGCTTTATATATCTAAAAACCTTTTAGGCTATAGACCTTAATAAAAAAGGAAAGGACAGTAAGCATCCGATGTACCGGAGGCTGGTCCATTCAGCTGTTGATGTCCCTACCATACAAGAGGTAACTTGGCTCCTTTACTTCCACTTCCCTGTGTCTATAACTACCAGGTGAGAGGTAAGTAGCAGTATTCATGATCATGGTGGCCATGGTAGCCTGGTATACCATGCATTTGTGCCACTATTCCTGCTGATTAGCACCATTTTCCCTATAAATGTCACATACTATAATGCAAACTTTGAAAGGTGTAGCTTTCAACCACTTACAGCTTCTAATATTTGTCGATTACAGGAAGCACACTCTAGTCTGGGCAGCTTGACATTTTGTATATAAAGTATTTCTGAACTACTAGTAATCTCTACTTTAGCTGTGTACTTGGGAGTTTCAGGTAACACTTAGGGTGTAGAGTGGATTTACTGTCTTGGGAAACCATAAAATTAGGATTAAAGCTAGAAGTAATTCTTAGATCTTTGAGAATTGCAAAGTTACACTTGACCATATTCACCTTCTCACTGAACTGTTTCCACATCCAGCCCCTTTTCCCATCCACCCAACTTTATTTCCTTTCTTTAAACCCATCAAGTCTAATCTGTGCTGCCCATGTATCCCAGAACTTACTTTTGTCTTTGTGCTCCACTATAGAGCTTGAGGATCCAAAGACAAAGCCCTATTCCTCACCCTGTGTTTAGACTTCTATAGCCCCTTCCTGCCAAAATTCACTACACCCCACTGCTGTCATCCTTCCCATGAAGGTTTCTGGATCCTGTTAGCCTCCCTGTGAAGTGGGCTGATCCTATGTGGGTTAATGCTTTGGCCTTGTATAATATGAGCAGAAGTCCTGTAAGGAAAATTAGCAGAAAGACAAGATTTCTATGATCTTACCAGTTTGTGATCCAGTTTAAAATCCAAAACATGAACCATGATTTAGAGCAGAACTCACCATGTAGGCGTCGTGGTTAGGTACTTAGCTGGGCAATCTCCTGAACAGGTCCAGTGCCTGGTGTACACTAGCCCATTAGAGGTAGGACTACAGGAAGGGAAGAGGAGGGAAGGGGAGGAAAGGGAAGGAAGGG